GATAGTGGGGGATTCAGCAATGGTAATGCTATTGCTCATAAAAGGGTGATCATTAGAATCTCTTCTCTTGGAGACAGTCATTTCCTGGTACTTGTATGGCCCAAATATTGTTTGTCATTTGCCAGCCCAAGCCTGGATGATGTCAACTTGCTGTATATGGATACGGGCTGCTTCAGTGTCCAAGGGTCCCAGATGGTGCTGCATATTGTGCAGTCATCAGCAAACATTCCTTTCACTAATGTTATGATGGATGGGGGTCATTGATGAAACAACTGAAGATGGTTAGAGGTAGAACACTATCCTGAGGAACCCCTGCAATGATGTTCTTGGACTGAGATGGTTGACCTCCAACAATCGCAATCATTTTCCTGTGTACCAGGTATGATTTGTGGAGAGTATTCTTCCTGATTAAAGCCAAATTAAACTTTAGTGAGCAGGTTATTCCTTTCTAAATGCCACTTGATGGAATTTCTTCCAACACTTTGCTCATGATCGAGAATGGACTGGATCCTGTCAGGTTCACTCTGCTCCTGACTTCGTTACAACCTTGGTCTCAACATGAGCAAAAGAAAATGGACTGGTAGGGTGTTAATTGGCGCTTTGGATTTGCCTTGCTTTTGGTGTACAGGACATACCTGGGCAATTTTCGATACTGTCATGCAGATGCCAGTCAATGTTGTAGGTGTACTGACACAGCCTGACTAGGGACGCAGCTAATTCTAGAGTATAAACCTCAGGAAGAGGCCAAGATGGATCATCTATTTGGCTCATCTGGGTGGAGATGTTTGCAAATGCATCAGCCTTGTCTTTTGCTTTGGTGTGCTGGGCACACTGAAGCTGAGAATATTTATGGAGTCTCTTCCTCCTCTTAGTTGTTGAATTGTACATCACCAATCATAACTGGATGTGACAGGAGTATAGAAGTGATATCTGATCCATTAATTATAGCATCACTTTGTGCTGTCTATAGCAAGCTGATATTTGGCATTAAAGTAGTCCTGTGTTGTAGTTTCACCAGGTTGAAACCTCATTTTTAGGTCTACTTTGAGCTGGTCCTGACATGCCCTCCTGCACTTTTCACTGAACCAGGGTTGATCTTCCAGCTTCATGGTAATGGCAAAGTGAGGGATATGCCAACCCACAAGATTAAAAATTGTGGTTGAATACAATTCTGCTGCAGCTGATGGTCCACTGCAGTTCATGGATGCCCAGTTTTGAGTTTCTAGATCTGTTCAAAGTCTGTCCCATTTAGGACGGTGGCAGTGCTACACAATGTGATTGAAAAGCCTTGAAGTGAAGACTTTAAGGACTTTGCGTTGCTTACTCCTACCAATACTGCCATGGGCAGATGCATCAGTAACAGGTAGATCAGTGAGAATGAGAGCAAGTAGAATTTTCTCTCTTTGTTAGTTACCTCACCACCTGCTGTAAGCCCAGTGTAACAGCTCTGTCCTTTAGGGTGGGGCCAGCTTAGTTATTACTCATGCTGCTGAGCCACTCTTGGAGGTGATCATTGATGTCCTCTACCCAGAGTACACGCTCTGCCCTTGCCACTCTCAATGCATCGTCCAAGTGACGTTCAACATGAAGGAACACTGATTCATCAGCTGAGGAGATAAGGGATGGTGGTAGTTGGTAATCAGCAGGAACTTTCTTGGCCCATGCTTGATCTAATACCATAAGCCTTCATGAGTCTGGAATCAATGTTAAAGACTCCAAAGTCAACTCTCTCCTAACCGTATACCATTAAGCCATCACATCTCTGGTGGGTCTGTCCTGCCAGTGGGACAGGATATACCTATGTTTGGTTATGTTGGTGTCTGGTATAGTAAGAAGGTATGATTTGTAAGTATGCTATGTCAGCTGTTGATTGACTAATCGGTAGGAGCGCTGTCCCACCTTTGGCTCAAGCCCACTGATGGTGCTAAGGAAGTTACTGCCAAGTCGACAGGTTTGCATTTCGATGCCGAAGTCAATGCCAAGTTCCTAAAGCTTAATTCCTTCTTTAGATGTAGATATGGGCCAGGCCAGGTGGTGATAACAGATTTCCTTCCCTAAAAGGCATTTGTGAACCATAGAAGCATATCCCAGCATGATTCATTACCTTCAGAGGAGGATGGCAAAAATAATGGGCTCAGTTAATTACAAGGCTGAGAGACAAAGAGAAATCGGCTAACTGGATGGAAAACTAAGTTAAGCAAAAGATGACAATTAGATAATGATGAGGGGGCGGTGGGGAAGGGTTGGGGAAAGGCGTGGCTGGAATAAGGGACAGAGACTAGTGAATCTATGCAGAGAACTGCTCCAAAAGATGTGCTCTGATGTCAATATCGAGAAATGTTTTTCTTGCATAATCACGATGAACGTTTTTAAATTTGCTGATGGCATTAAGTTAAGGTAATACAGATGAAGGAATTGATAATATTTAAAGGGACCTGTACCTATTAAACAGATAGCTTAAGACAGATTTTAATGGAGATAAATGTAAACGTATGCAAATAGGAAGTGGAAACATGAGACGCATATATGATGAAGGTAGATCCATTAGCAAAGATGGGACAGGAGAAGGATTCAGTTGTAATTATTGATTATTAGCCACTGAAATTTCCAGTCAATGTGAAGCTGTTGTCAACAAAGTTAATCACATACTGTATTACAATATCTCTAAAGAGCACATTTTTCTCTTTTTTTGTCCCAATCTATTCCACTTGTATCATCCTTTTCCACTTGACTGCATGCTGTGATTCAATGACACGGCATTGCTTACCCTCTGGTATCCCACCCAAATGACATTTTATCATGTGTGAGCCTAAGCAATATCACAAACTATTTAACTATGGTGGGCAATAACTGAAAGCTGCCCTGTCTTTCTCCAGCCTGTGTCCTCATGTTGTCCAACAACAATTTTGCATTTACATAGCACTTTAATTCGATAAAACATTCATCTATTTTACAATTAACAAATCAAAAAAATCCCAGGGAAAACTCTAATGTCCTGTTTCTCAATGACTTGAGTTTTGCTAGGACTGTTTGATGCCACACTAAGTCAAATGCTACCTTAATATAAAGACTAGTCTCTCTCACCGCAGTTCTGTTCTTTTGTCCACATTTGGATCGAGACTGTAATCAGGTCAGGAGTTGACTGACCGAGGCAGAACCCAAATTGGGTGCCAGTGGGCAGGTTATTCCTTTGCAAATGCCATTTGTTACCATTCCCTTTGATCACCTTTTGTATCTACACCACAATGAGCCATGAATACAGGAGAAAAAAGTAATGTTCTGGTAATGAAAGTTATTTACTGCAGACTACATTCTATTAAGAAAAGCACTGTCTTTCATAAAAACATATTTTAGCAAGTGTTGACACCTCTTGATAATCTATTTCATGACAGATCAATATTTCTTGACACTTCTTGACAGGCTGACTTTTTTAAAAAAAATTTCATGACACTTCTTACCCAGTCAACACTTCTTGACAGAGCTTGACACTTCTTTACAGGTCAGCAGTTCTTTTCACTAAATAGTTCTTGGCACTTCTTGAAATGTTTGACAGTTCCCAGGGGTTTGTGCACTTCTTACCACACAACATTTCCACAATTAACACCCCAAATTCCCACATCTAATTCCCACCTCCCCACCCCAGCCTTGATACCTGACTCCCACACCTAAAGGATACAGACTCCATCCCCCCAAAGAAACACTGAGCCCTATTCCTGGGACGATATCAACAGGGATACCCAGCTCTGCAAAGGACTACATTGGCTAGCCAGAAGAAACATACTGAGAATTGATGTGCTGTTGCCCTGTGCAATTTCCACTCTCAGTGTTCCAAGACTCCAGGGATTTCAAAATAAGATTTGAGTGAGGCAGCTGATCATTTAAATTGCCTACTGCCTCCACAAAATGCTCATGTACAACCTACCGGTAGCCCTCAATTTCCCTGTGAAAATATAAAATACCTGGTACAGGACAGGACTAGAGTTTTCTGACATCTTCTACCATTTTCATCGTTCATCACAATGGAGAGGCAAAAATCTGTGCCAGAGCCACATACACACTTGGCTTCATTGGAAGATAGCAGAACAGCAGAATCTAGTTTCTTTAATGCTGAGAGCAATGGAAACTGGATCTCATCTGGTTTCATGTTACTTTTGTTGTTGAATTTTAGTGCAAAAACAGAGAGTTATCGCGTGAAGCATACATGATTTTTGGAACCAACATGTTTATAGCTAGAAAACCTCAGATTTAACCGGCGAGACATCTTTGGAAAGAATAAATATAGATCATTAAACACTAACTTAAGTAACTGTTAAACACAAATGAATAAACATACATTAAGGATCTACCAAAAACAAATGCATTCACAAGGCATGTTGCTAAAATAAGTTGACCTGCATCATTAGTGTGACCTCAATGCGTCATAAGAAATTCTGGTCAACTCCTTAGATGTGGTGCAGATGATTACCCATCCATTCAAAGGTTGGATAAGGTACTCTCTGTCCCACAAATAAAGAATGTGTACTTTCCTCACACCTGAACTGGACTAAGCCAATGTTAAATTTTGAGTTTATCTTCATTTATGTTCATCTAACAGCAATTCACTGTTAAAGGAACTTGATACAACATCGAATCCAGATGTGACACGGGGTATTTGACAAGGCACAGTAGCAAAAACAGTCCAAATACAGGATCCTTTTCTAGGCAACTAATATGTATTACTGTGAGATAGTAAGAACTGCAGATACTGGAGTCAAAGATAACGCATTGTGGAGCTGGAGAAACACAGCAGGCCAGGCAGCATCAGAGGAACAGGAAAATTTGACATTTCGGGTTGGGACCCTTCTTCAGAAATGGGCCATTTCTGTGTTATCAACATGTATTACTGTAATGGCAGTTTACATCACTGTGATTTCAATTCACTGAGGTATTGGGTGATTATGTCAAAATCGTATTTGCCTTTCCAGTCCATTTCTAAATATTTTAAATGTTTTGTCTTTCAGTCAAACAAGGTTCCTGTGGTGCAGCCATCCCATGCAGTCCATCCCCTCACACCTCTCATCTCCTACAGCAATGAGCACTTTGCCCCAAGTTCACACTCACCACACCTTCCAGCAGAGATCAACCAAAAATCAGGTAAGTGGATCAGCACTGCTGATTATCTTTGTGAAAATCATTTCCAACACGTTGGTGTGGAAACAACAGCTGCAATGGTAATGTATTTAACACAAGAAGTAAAAGAGCCAAGTTCCCATCCAAACGAGCTTCATGCATTCGGCAGAAATTGTGAAAAAAATAAGAGATAGACAATAAATTACAAGAAAGGAATCATCTTCTGCAATGGTCTGTTTTAATGTTAGTGAAGAGAAGCACATTCATGCAGAGAGAACAATGGACCAGCTTTCAAATTATTCTGACTCAAGCATCTTGAAATAAAACTCTGTACGTTGGGTTTTCAAAATGTTTCCTGCTCTTGCTCCTATTATCTTCTTCCAAAATTCTTCCTGCTTTAAAACAGTTTCACATTCCTGTAAATGCTTTTCCAAACCACTTTGTCATTGATCTGCTTTCAACAAGAAATGAAATCAAAAGTGGAGGTAGAAATTATAGCTGCACTTGGAAAAGTTTCAGCTGAAGATGGCTATCTACTGGAGTGTTCAAACTGGAGGGTTAATCCCAGTTATTACGTTAACTGAGTCTGTTTCACACAACCCTGGCTGAAAAATCCTTAAACCCTGTACCAGCCATTCAGATAAAAAGCTTCCTTGAGGTCTTAGTAAGTGCATTCATTGCATAGTGTCCTGCTGAGGCATACAAATCTGAAGGTTTCATCCCTGGTCATTGCTGAGCCTACAGATCTTAGCAGAATGACAATGATTGATCCCAGTGTATCATCTCGTACTGCCTGTTGAAAAGTATATATTGTGGAGAACACCTGACCTATGATAAAACAGCCTATAATGCACACTAACCTTATAGACAGAAATACCAAGCAAAACTCAAAACAAAGACTTGATGGAAGTAATGAAAGAATTGCTTGTAAATTATATTTTTTCCACATTAACCTTGACAAAAATAAATGCCAGCATCTTTATGCATGAAACTAGCTTTGGGTGTCAGACAGTGGTTTAACCTTTTCCTTCCCAAGCAAAGTAAAAGCATGTAAATTAATTAACGAAATGTGTGATTGTGGTATACTTGTGTCAGGGATTTGACCGGAAATAGCAGTGAAAAGGCAAAGTGATCTTTACATTGTGAGTAATATCTAAATGTCAAGTTAGGTCAATGTGAGACTGAGCTTTGGAGTCTGTGCTACTTAAAAGAAGTTGTGTCATCACGTTTGGGAGCTTTGTGGTCAGATTTAGTTTGTTGTAAAACTTGGAGTTTGCTCAGAATACTTAGTTGGAACATTGTTGCCACAATTTTTATCAGAAGGAAAGTTCATTTGTCATCCAGTCTTACATTCACTGCTTTGAGCCTTTCTTGTAGTATTATTTGCAATGTTCATTTTTAACATCAAACTAGTATGGAGAGATGTTAACCTCTGCCTACTTGGTACAAGCCTAGGTGGACCTCTGACATTCATTTCCCATCCAAATTTCTTCAACTTTAGAAAGTGACATGTTAGAAACTATCGGTGGAGTGTGAAGAGAGGAAGAGATTTAGAGTGTGGAGAACAGGGGTTTCTCTCTTTAAATATTCATATTGAACCCCAGTGCCATCATCAAGACCTAAGTGTTGTTCCAATCAGTGCCCAGAGAACCCCTGCCATTGGAGCCTGGTGTCAAAATGTTGGCACCAGAAGAGGTCAAACCAATTCGTCTATCTAAATGACATCTTTCCGTGAGGTCAGGACAAGCTGAAGTGCCCTAACAGGCCCCACAAGAAAGATTTAGAGCCCTCCTTCCCAGGAATTTAAATTGTTTGTACCTCACATTGCCAAGATTAGGGCAGATTGCCACCCACCTCTGCACCCATCTACCTGATTCCAGTCCTGAGTGGAACCTGGGGAAGAGTTTGTCGGAAGTAGTTAGTGACATGGTGGAAATTAATCATACCTCTGGTCTCATCACTGTGTTCCTACATGTCTAACATGACAATGGCATTTTTTTTAAGTTATGTAGAGTTAGGATACAGTTAGGAACACGTTGGAAGGCTGAATAGGATGCCCATATTCTAATTTTTCTAACTGGAATATGCCCGTATACAAAAAAAAATCTGCCAATAAATTTTTATAACAGCTGATTTTGGGTTATTTTGAAAGAATGTAACAACTTATGAATATTGAAAAACAATGTTTTGTGTTAGAGGGTTCCATTTTTGCTACGTTTTGATACTGATTGCTCACATACAGGAAATTTGTTGTGAGTCAAAAATTCCTGCAAGTACTCTTTTTAAACTTTTACAAAAGTAGTAATAAATTAGTCATACTTTAAAAGACATTAAGTGCTGCTCAAAGGCCTGTGAATCTGACTGATAGCATTGTGTTGCAACTATATCCTTGTGTGGAGAAGTGAAGCCATATTTTGTTAGATTTGAATGAGCCAAACTGTTCCCATGTTCACAGAGATTGGACGTTTAAGCGATTTTCCGTCATTTAAATTTTAAAACAGAACCGAATAATGCTCCTATCATACATGGATCTGCCAAACACAACAAATATTACCATTAACTGGCATAGCAATACTAGAAGCATTGGCTTTTTATCATCTTTTACATAGAAGACATGGCATTATAATGGTCCATTCAGAAATGAGGACAGATAACCTGGTACACTAACTGGGCTCTTTATTCCTAACCCTCATAGTACACTGAATAGGAAGCTCTTTACCTTAGTTCCTTAGCAGCAAAGGAACTGGATTAGACCACTCAGCTCCATTAGTCTGTTCTGCCGTTCATAGATTACGATTCGTCTGTACATCAGCTTAATTTGCCACGTTTGATGCATATTCCTTGCTAATCCTTCCTGTAATCTCGTAAAAAGGTTACCATCTCTGTTTTGAAATCTTCAATTGGCCCAGCATCCAGATTCTTGGGGGGAGAGAATTGCAAATTTCCATTACCTTTTGCATGAAGAAGGGCTTTTTGAGTTAATTCCTAAATAGCATGCTTCTGATTCAAAGATTATGAGGACCAATTATTTCAGTTGGCTAGATGGCTGGCATGTTGTTCAGAACAATAGCATGGATTCCATTCCCGTTCTGAGCTGAGATAGGCTTGGAACCTGCTTCCTTACCTTTCCCCTGAAAGTGGAAGATGATGAACAGCTCAGAATAATGTATCAGCAGATAATGAGCCAAGGACCAGCTTTCAGACAGAGCACACATGACATGACCATTGTAACATAGTGTTTCCTTGATCTGGATTCCCCGTCTAATTAGAAAGCTTCTCAGTATTAAATTCTTATACCTCTGTTAGACCACACCTCAAATTTCGAATCTCAAGAGAATACAAGATAAACCCTGATGCCCAATCAAATTCAGCGGTTCATTATGGAGAAATGTAGTGATTAATTTTTTCCAACAATAAGGGGACAAAGTGTTCTGTGAATGAGTTACTTGCATGGTAATCAAGTCAATACATATCTGGTCACCATTCAGCACTGGGATGCATTCAACTAAACTGGAAAATAGTAAGAACAAAAACAGGAGTTGCTGGAAAAGCTCAGCAGGTCTGGCAGCATCTGTGAAGAGAAAATCAGAGTTAACGTTTCAGGTCCGGTGACCCTTCCTCAGAACTGTAAGGGGTCAAAGTGTTCTGTGAATGAGTTACTTGCATGGTAAACAAGTCAATACATATCTGGTCATCATTCAGGATGGTAAGGTTGTCCAGTGGGTTATTATGTTAGGGATCAGGCCATGTTGTTTTCAATGGTTGCATGAGTCAGAGACTGTATTCTATAATTGTATTTCTGATAACAAAACCCATTATACATAGCTCCTCACTGGACTCTCAGGGTGACCTTATGGTCTGAATTTGAATCCAGTGTGAACAAATGGAAGAAGAGTTTACCTGGAATTCTATCATTGTCGAGATGGGCATTGCTGACAAATCACCTCCATTGTCATGTTTTGCCCCAATAAGATGCACTTTGGTATAACTTATGCCTGTACAGTGGCAAAAGATACTTTAAGCAGGAAGTTCATGATATTGTCAACATCGTGCCATTCTCAATATGGTGCACCACTTCCAATTTCTCTCATTTTGTCTTCTCAAATGACTATAATTAAAATTCTAAGTGCCATTGGCGTGCATCCAAAACTCATTTGGTTTTGCAGCAGGGGAAGCTTTTCATTGGTGAAACCTCCCATCAGCTGACAATGTTAATCTATGGGCAACTTATTAAAGCATTTTCTGTTCAAACAGGGAGGCTCTGCCAAAATTTTCCAGCCTAATTCCAACACCTTAATGTAAGACTTGAGAGCATAAAGGTGGCATAGGTGTTTTTCAAAATTAAATGTCACTTAAAATTGTTTCACATAACGTTCGTTTCATTTTGTTCAGATTCTGCATCACTATTATTCATTGAAGTTTGCTTAGTCTGACCATTCGTGGTTGGTATGCATTGAAGGTTGTGGGGAAATTAGGGACATTTCCTCAATTGCAGAGGAAGCAATTTTGTGTTTTTGTGTTCACTCATGTTGGTGTCCAGTCTTGTATCCCCCAACTTCGTTCATTCTATTATCTGAGAACAATCTCATCAAGGATAATGTAAATGTTGTGGGTGGGTTCAAATGCCCTATAAGGACTCTGCCCATACCCCAAGATGGACACACATTTGGACATACAGACACTATCCTTTAGGCCTCTCATTTTCTTGTCCTGACTGATTATCCGCACCAACATGCAGAACTAGCCCTTCTCCCCACCAGCATTTTACACAAAGGACAGCAGGCCCTACCCTTTTCACTTCTCTATGTCCCCAACCCCACTTCAAACTCCTCTCACCACTCACTCACCCCAACTAGTACTCTACTCAGGAGTTCATTCTGCTGCTCCTCTCCTTCGTGTCATGGAGTTAAAAACATCACTGACCTTACACAAAACTGCACAGAGCTGTCATGAGCATGCCTCCTTCAAATAATTTTGAACTGGGTGCCACAAGATTCCTGTGTGTCACCGACATTATCTGAAGGTAAGACTTTACTGACCTTTAAGGACCACTTAAGAGCTCTGTCCACCACCACTGAGATTAACCGTGTCCTGTTTCAATCCTAATACTTCTATCCTGTGGACTACTTGTGACATTAGCTTAAGAAGAATGGATCACCTTAGTCAAAGGACATTAGGTAGGGATTACCTGCTGGGAGCCAAAACCTTTCTCTTGCTTTCTACCCCTCTGGTCCCCCATTCCCCCACGACTCCAACCATAGAACTTTGGGTCTTGATTCCACGGCAAGACCTGCCAATGGCCTCACCACTGATTGGTATTGATTCAGAAGGAGTTCCCTGGAATCAACAGTGAGGTCTTTGCTCGTGTCCAGATGCTGGATGGGATCTATAATGTATTAACAAAATTCAGCTTGTAATACGAGTCATTATCCAGAATTATTCTGAGGGAAAGAACGCTGAATTGGATATAAATCTTGGTCTGTACCAGTAAAACTAACAACCTTTAAACAGAAACAGCAGGTCTGACTGCATCCATGGACAGAAAGCAGAGTTAACATTTTGGGTCCATTGACTCTTGTTCAGAACTATTAGTAGCTGGGAAAAGGTGGGGTATATATGCTGAAGTCAATGGGTGGAGGTGGGGTGGGAGGGTAGAAGGAGTAAGCAAATAGGTGGAGATGGAGCCCAGAGAGAGAAAAATATAGTTAGGAAGAAAAAGGAATGTATAATGGTAAGCCAGGGAGAAAGGAAAGTCGATAATGGGGACCATAAATAGGTGAAAATTTATTGGCAATGTTAAAAGCAACTCATGTTATGACAGGGCCTGGGGTTTGGGGTTGGGTAAAGGACATAGACTGAGTGACCACTTTGGAGAACACCTACATTCTGTCTGCAAAAATGACTCTAAGCTTCCAGGTGCCTGCCACTTCAACACATCACCATATTCCCTGGCCAACATTTCCGTTTCAGGCTTGTTGCAATGCTCCAGTGAGACTCAGTGCAAGCTGGAGGAAGAACATCTCATTTGCCGCTTGGGGATCTTGCAGCCTTCAGGACTTAATATCGAGTTCAATAATTTTACAGCCTGAACACCTTCCTCTATGTCCTTCATCCAGCCCCACACCTCTGGCCCTGTCATCACATGAGGCGCTTTCAACAGAGCCAACATATCTTCACCTACTTTGATTCCTGTTATCAGTTTTTCTTTCTCCCTGGTTTACTATTTTCCATCCCTTTGTCTGCCTAACTGTCTTTCTGTCTCTCTGGGCTCCATCTCCACCCATTCGTTTACTCCTTACCAACCCACATCCCCCCAACCTCCTGCTTTCAGCGTATACACCACCTTTTTCCAGCTACTAATAGTTGTAAAGAAGGAGTACTGGAACCAAACATTAACTCTGCTTTCTCTCCACTGATCCTGCCAGACCTGTTGAATCTCTCCAGCAATTTCTGTTCTGTATCAGATTTCCAGAATCTGTAGTTTTTTGTTTTATTTTATTGAACTAGCTACCTTCACAGGTTACCACCTTCAAATAAGACAGAGTAAATCTCATATGGTTCAGGAAATTACTGGTCTACAACATTGTAGTTTAGCCACCAGGCATCAGTCTGAATCATCTGTGGGGAATCAGACAAAGCAAGAGAAAACAAAGTAGAAAGACAAACAAGGACTGAATATTTGGCTGTCATAGAATCCCTACAGTGTGGGGGCAGGTCATTCAGCCCATCAAGTCCACACTGACCCTCTGAAGAGCATCCCACCCAGACCCACCCCCTCCCTGTAATTCCCATGGCTAACCCACCTAGCCTGCACATCCCTGGACACTACAGGCAATTTAGCATGGCTAAGCCACCCAACCTGTACATCTTTGGACTGTGGGAAGAAACCAGAGCAAACTCACAAAGACACAGGGAGAACATGCATACTCCACACAGACAATCACCTGAGAGTGAAATTGAACCTGGGTCCCTGGAGCTGTGAGGCAGCAGTCTAACCACTGTGCCACCATGCCACCCACTGCCTATCAGTGAGAGGAAAACATGCTGAAAATACAAACCAGGCCAGTCAGTATATGAAAAACAGACAATTTGTAGAACATTTCAACAGAATTAGTGGACTCTTCCTCCATCATAAATTGTCATTGACTGAACACTGAGCAGTCATAACAATATCTGTAGACTTGATTTCCCTTGCCTTCATCTCTTACTGATGGTGGAGGATTATGTAGTTAGATGAGACTAGTTATTTTGGAGAAGTGGGTCTAAGAACAACAGAAGCAACTGGGTTAATGTCCTTGTGTGGTTCCTGCTTGTACAGCACAGAAATGAAAAGTGCAATGCCAAAAGACTCTATTGGCTTCTAAGTTAACCGCAGCAAAGATCTGCAAACAACTGAAAATAAAACCACAATATGTTCCGCACGCTAATCTTTGAAAATATGAAGGATTTAGAGTGTTTTATAAACATTTAAGAGTGTTTCCATTTAAAAGCATCTGCAGGAAGCCTCCAGTCCAAAGCGTTTTGAAGTGTATATAAGACAGCTTATTTGAGATGGATATATCCTTTCTATGTAGTACTGGAGTTTCTCATCCAACTGTATCCAGTATCCGGTGATATACAGAACTGTACAGTGTTGGAAAGTCCCTAGTTTTAGTCTTTTGCCTGTACTGAGTTTGCTGATATGGCTAGGACAATGATAAGAGTGTTATAATTGATTTGAGTATCCTTGATTTAGGGAAATGGAATGGTGGAAGTGGAGAGGAAATCACGGTTTCAATACTTACCACCATACAGTGACCCCTGCTGGAAAGTGCCTCTATGCAGATATAAAGCATAGTCATATCGATTCTAATAACCCTTTCCAGTCAACATTCATTACCTAAATCAGTTCTTATTCCAGACTTATCCCAGTATAACACTCATTTTAACAGGTCAGGCTTTGTCATAGAGGTGTACAGCACAGAAAAAGACGCTTTTGACCATCGAGTCTGTGCCAGTCAAAAACAGCCACCCAACTATTCTAACCCCATTTTCCAGCATTTGGCCCGTAGCCTTGGATGCCTTGACATTGCAAGTGTACATCTAAATACCTCTTAATGTTATAGGGGTTTCTGTTTCTACCACCCTTACAGGCACTGAAAATTTTCTGAGGAAGGGTCTAGGCCCGAAACGTCAGCTTTCCTGCTCCTCTGATGCTGCTTGGCCTGCTGTGTTCATCCAGCTCTACGCCTTGTTATCTCTTATGTTAGCAGTTGTGGACCTGTACACCAGAAACTTTCTGAAGAATTGTAAAGTAGACTAAGGACAAAGTCTCGGCTCAATTTTTTGGATGTACAGATTAATAGATTTTTAAAATGTTGATAATTAGTATGATTAAACATTTTTCTTGTTTATATCTAAACATAGAATTTCTTAAAATCAATTTTAATACATAAAATTATATTGAATAAGAGGGAAAAAAATTAAAATCTACCAGACCCGCATATCACAATGTTTTATAAGAGTAACGTTCACAATTTTCCATTGAAAAAATGGCCAGAAGTCCTGATTAAATTCGTGATCAACACTAACAATGGGGAAAAAAGCAATGTTCAGAGAAAGGCTGCAATTTTTTCGATATTCCTTACAAATAAGAGACGGAGATTATGAAGGTAGCTTTGATGCAATGAGAGCTTATTGCTTTAGAAATTGGTATATGTTGGAAAGGACAAAATATTCAAAAGGTTCAGCATATAGCTCAGAGAACCAGGAATTTGCCCTGCGATTCAGCAGTTCTATTGATCGGCCAATTCAACCTCTTCCACCCTTTCATGGTGCAATGCAAGCTCCTGGGACCTACTTAAAGGATGCCACTGGTGACATAAATTGTCCAAAATTGACTTATCTGGTGCGATGAGCTTCCTATGGATGTACATCCAATGCTTGAATTTGTAGTTGACACCTAAAGACTAATTTTATGGCCAAGATTAATTTCTGCCATGTCACATAGAAAAGAATATGTTGCATGTAAGTGGATGATACAGGAGAGAATCATGTACTGTATATCGAACATGATCTTGATTTTTGTATTAAAGGTTGTATGCTCTGAAGTGTATGCGGTGAATAAAACCTCCTGTCAATTTTTATGTTGTCCAGGTTTGCATCGGCCACCACAGGGTCCTGATCTGGCTGCTTTATATTCTCTGTCTCCTGGTAGTACAGGACAGATCACCCCTACATTAGGCTGGTAAGTGATGCATCACAAAATGTGATCTAAAGATCAGAGCTGTAAGAGAGCCAAGGATCCTCATGGATACACTTCTTGTGTTTGGACTGCCTCGTCCAAAAATAAAGCAACAAAATGTCATGTGCCTCCTGACCGAAATCATCGCTGAAACTTTCAGCACTTCAGTCAGTTTAAATTCTTCTTGATTTCATCACTGACCCACAAACTAATCCAGTTCTTTGAAAAGGATTATTGCTTGCGGATTCAGAAGATGACCTGCTGAGTAATGCAGGGGAACTGAGCTGTCCTCACATTTATAGGTGGCTATTTTCCAAAATGAATTGATTTCATTAAGGAGAGAGCCATTATAGGAGCATCAATATGGATCAAAGCTGGCATCATTATTAAAAAGTATTAATATTTGAGTTTTCTGTTAGATTTGCTGATGTACTATTGGGTGAAACTGTCTCCGTTAATCTGCCTTCGATAGCAGGTAAATTATCGGTTATATTTTCAGTTAACCATGATCCAGCTGATGATGTAAATTTATCCATGGTGATGCCGGTAAAATCCAAAAGACTAATGAAGTAATGGACTTTGGAAATGTATATGTTTTGTCTGTTTTCCTTCCTTAAAACTCAATTTAAGAAAGTGACAGCACACCCAGTATCTTGAAGGATCATGGTGCATCAAGCAAGGTCTTTGCTTCCGAATAAATTTGATGCATGGATTCTATCATGATGTTGCCAGAAAGTGCCTGAGTACCTGAAAAACCCTTGATTTCTCCAACCTGTCTCCAAGCAATAGGGTACACTTGGACCACCATTTAAAGTTATGGCAGCAGTGTCTTGGTTCTAAATATCCTTTGCATAATTCATCACAACTAGTTATCAATAACATTCTTGCTTATTCCTTAATTTAAATTTGACATTTCAGTTTGTATGGAGATCATTATTTTATTGCTGTTACTTTCTTTCGTTATATTTAATATTGTACTGACACAATTGGCTTATTGATTTATCAATTTACAACAATACAACCTATGCATAATAAGCAGGCCTTCTCTGTAAAATAAATCTCAAAGATTTCTCTTATCTGTGTGATTTATAAATTCCAACACTTTGGTTATCTGAGTCATTGTCGTTATTCTTTGTATTAGCTCCTTTCAGTGAAGTCAGTAATACTACTGAGAGAATGGGATGAGAAAACTATGTTTAAAGCCTTTTTTTCTCTCTGTTACCTAATGCTCTCTCTTCCTCTTGGACTGTGTACAATGCCTAACCAGATGGAGGTGAGCAAGATGCTCCCTAGCTTCTGCCTATGCCACAATATGAATTGCTGCTAAGAAGAGGTTGTAGACTTGCTCGCCGAGTCAGTGTGTTTGATTGCAGACGTTTCATCACCCTGCTAGGTAATGTCATCAGTGCGCCTCCGGTGAAGCGTTGCTGTTCTGTCCCACTTGTTATTTATATGCCTCGGTTTGCTGGGATGGTTGATATTACTTCCCGTTCTGTTTCTCAGAGGTTTATATATCGGGTCCAGTTCAATGTGTTTGTTGATGGAGTTCTGATTGGAATGCCAGGCCTCCAGGAATTCCCTGGCATGTCTCTGTTTTGCTTGTGCTATTATGGATGTGTTGTCCCAGTGGAATTTGTGTCTTTCTTTGTCCATGTGTAGTGAGACAAGTAAGAATTGATCGTGTCTCTTGGTGGCTAGTTGGTGTTCGTGTATCCTTATTGTCAGTTTTCTTCCAGTTCGGCCTATGTAATGTTTTTTACAGTCCTTGCATGGTATTTTGTATATTGTGTTAGTTTTATTGGTTGTGGGTATGAGATCCTTTACGTTCATCAGTAGATGTCGTAGGGTGGTTGTTGGTTTTTGTGCTACCCTGATGCCTTTGGGTCTGAGTGGTCTTATGGCCATCCCTGATACATCTCTGATGTACAGTAGGGTGACTAGTTTGTCTGGCCGTGTTATGTCTTCTTGTTGTGGTCTGTCACGGAGGTATCAGCGGGTTGTGCTTTTTGGGTATCCATTCCTTTTAAAAACTCCATATAAGTGCTCCTGTTCTGCTTTGCACAATTCCATGTTGCTG